GTAATAGCTTTTAATCACTCGGTAAAATACGATTGAGAACGTTATTTTTGGTAACACGATTGAGAATACTCGGTTTTTTTTCCAACGTTGCCAAATGTAATCGATCGATAATATGAACACAATAATCTGATATTTATCGCGTTTTTATCGGATTAGCTGGATGTTAATAGTAAATTAGATACCAGATACGAGAGAATGACGGTTAGGCTTTGCAGTCGTCACACAACTATTCGTCTATTCGTATTAGATATTTTTATAAGTTGTACCTATTTTACAATTTTTTTATATATATATATATACAGTGTATGTCTAATACCTGTATAGTGTATATTATAAATATAGTGTATATTATACACTATACAGGTATTAGATATTTTTATAAGTCCTACATATTTTTAATTTTTTATTCATATTATATATTACATATTATTAGGCGCTTATTTGTATACGATTATAATTATTAGTTTATGATTTTTTTCAAGAATATTTATTATATGTATACTGAATTTTTCAAAAGCCAAATAAATGATATGGCAAACTATGGCAACGTTGGTCATAAATTCGTTCTCAATCGTATCGTTTTTTGGGTTTTTTTTTTGCTTAGCAGTTTATTTTTTGTTAATATTAAATGTTCTCAATCGTTCGATAGCCTAATTATTTTAAGGTTCTCGTGTACCTGTTAAGAATCGAATTAATGTATATAATTTTTTACATGTTAATGTTTTATTATGACGCGACGATTGATTACATTTTTGAAAGTGTACACATTAAATTATAAAAATATTATGTCACATATAAATTTATTTATAGTTTTAAAATTTACAATTTTTGTTAAGGGGGTCAATTTTCAATAAATATTTAAATTGTTTCAAAAATAGCTTTTTTGTAAGATTTTTTATGTGAAAAAATAATGAAAATGTGATAATTAAATATATTTTCTATTCGTAATTCATCGTTGCTAATATATTTTGAAAAATGTATTATAGATATACTTGAACTATATTTTTTGGACTTCTAATATAAATAATATTATAATTGATAATTTTATTTATTTACTCATTATACTAACGAAATAATTAGTACTTCAAATTTTTGTTTTTATAATATCGTTTTTATTAAATACGTTTAATTCAGTAATAAAGTATTACGTACCAGTATTTACATTTTAAATAAGTATTACTTTGAATTTGTTAGTTAAAAAATAATTGATTATGTAATTAGTATACTAAGCATATACTAGTTTTAACCAATAATCTCAACGCAGTTCACCAAAATATTATTTATGAAGTTTATTTCTTATTTATTTTAGTCTCCTCCAATGTACTTTGTTACTAAAAATAAATTCATATTTTTTCGTTTTCTTATGTTGACTTGACAGATTGATTTAAATAGAATATTCAACCTGCATACAGTTGGTTATTAAATTAAAATAGGTTTTGAATTCAGCTAAATATAAAATATCACATTCATTATATTATTATTTTCGGTAAACCTTTGAAAAACATTTTTTTTTTAAATAATTGTTTACTTTAGCGATCTTATCAAAATAACCCAAATAAGAGAACACAAGAAAAAAGATCACAAAAAATTTATTAGGAATATTATTAAATATTTTACAGTATTCCAGTATTATTGTATGCAGGAATAGTTATGATGGAGCAGTTTTATAATTCTGATTATATTAAACATTAATTACCCAAGGATACCATGTTTGTATAATTTTGCTTTATGCCAATAATGAATTTGTTATTCTTTTACATTTAAAACTGTTACACTAAAAACTAAATATTCAAAATATCAATGGAAAAAATATTTTTTCCAAACGAAGATAATTGATTAATAAATTGTAGTTTTCTTATTCTTTGAACCAAGGTATGCTAAATTATTTTTTTTACTAAAGAATTATTCAATTTGTTTAATAATCAAACGTTAACTCAAAACTTTTATCTAATTAATATGATAAATGCAATTAATATATCAAAGTCATGATGAAGTTTATTTCATATTAATAATTTTAAAATTGAAGTCATCCATAAAGTCGGTAGAGATTTTTTTCTAATCATAATCACGAGCTATTTTTAAACCTATTCAATAACATTAAACGTACTAAACTAATCCTTTTTTTTTACAATATCAACTACAAATAATTTTTATAAAATGCATGAATAACACGAATAGCAGTCAAGTAGAAAGATATTTTACTGAAAATCTAAACTAACTGTGTAAAGAACGTGAATGTCACATGGATATCAATAAAATATTATTGTAACATTGTAAGTAATAGTACAATTATATTGTTTTTTTATAGAAAAAAATAGACGGTAATTAGGATGGGATATTCAACAAATTGTTGTCGGTGAAAATGTAAATAAATTATAACAATTTTGAGAGTATTTCAAACAAAGTTTGTTATCATCAATTTATAAAAATATTCACCCCAAAAAATAAATATTAAATCATAGGTATAAATAAACAAAAACTTATGTAAATATTTAATTAAGGTGTAAGAGTAGTTAGAATTTAAATGACTATCCGGGTGATGTGAACAGTTTTATCATTTATCACACGTCTGATAAATACAATTACTTTTTACGCAAAATTCTTTGTAGAAAATAATAATGATTATTGCATTGAATTGTAAAAAATTTGAAATTCAACTATACATTTAAAGCATACAATGCAATAATAACTGTGTATGCTTAATTTTTAAACGAGATATTTTTATGTGCTGCTTAAATGATTTTTACATCGATAATAAATTTACAAAAGTGTATAAAATTAAAAAAAATATTTTTTTTGTAATTTGAAAACTATTATTTGAAATTAGCGATAATTAAAATTTTATGATTCTTGAGATTTTTAAAAATGGTGAGTAATATAAATATATATTCTTTTCGCGAATAGATTAGTTGTTCTTTGTTAAATTTTTTTTAATGTATATTTCGATTTATTTTGGTTGTAAAAGTACTTTAAAATATTCATTGAGTAACTATTATATGACTGAATTTCTACTTTATTATTATTTAGTCATTTCCTGAATTCTTCACTAAGTAGTTATAGTAAGTATATTTTCCAAAAATTATCTAAATCTAAAAAAAAAAAAATCTAATGAAATGTTAAAAGTGAAAAAATACACCAATTTTTTACAAAATAAAATTTTGTTCTGATTCATAGAATAATAGATAGTAAATCGAGTTATTGGAAATGATGAAAATTTTGAACTTTTTTTAGGGAATTTATAAAATAAAACTTGAAATAATTACTTCAATGACTAACAAATTAATGCAAGTTTATTTTATATATTTATAAAAAAGTTCAAAGACTTAACATTTGAAAACAAAATTTTATTATCTATAATTTTATTTCAGTAGAGTTATATTAAAACTCGAATAACATTTTTCGTGAATTTAAATAAATGTATTTTAACATTTATTCGTTAGTGTAATTCGAATTTTTGCATGTTTTCTAGATTTAATTAGAAAACAGTTTAGTTAGTTTCGAGCTTTGTAGACGATTGATTTTATGAATGCTGTGATATGTCGTCACCTTTAAATATGTGTAAATTAGTTATCATCTAGGTACGCAATATTTCAAAAATGTCGTGCCACTTGAACTTCTACTACTAGTGTTTTATTTGATTTTAACTATTTTTAGTTGAAAATTATTAATTTTACTTTTTTTAATATATTTTCTAATTCCGTAATTCTTTCTGTGTTCTTGTAATTAGTTGCAGAAATATATATTTTAATAAGTTAATTAATTTTAATGATTGGTTAATTTGTTTAGCATACTACCTATCACTATTGAGTATTAATTACTAATTGTATGTAATTGAATATCATACATTATTATAGTATAGTATCAAAATTCATGATAGTAAAACGTTCAAATGATTCCTTAACAATGTAAATAATGCTTAAATGACAATAAAATGTTATTAAAAAAGTAAAGATTATGGTTTCATTTTAAATGAAAACTAATACTATATAATTATACATTTATAGTCGATTATTACCAGTATCTAATCAATAATTTATTAAAATTTTATTATTTCGAAAAAACTTTCAATAATAAACATAAATTTAATATAAAAAAGCATAAGTTAAATTATCAAATAATATGTTTTAATATTTACTGACAAAACTAATTTCGTGTATAAACAAAAGTTAATGAAAATACAAATTCATATTTTTAGCAAGGAAAACTAATTGCTGCAGTTAATATCTGTACATAATACATAATACATTTTAAAAACGATTATTCATACCTATATCTAGTTTGTAAATAGTATTCATTAAGTTTTAAGTATGAGGACTGAGTGTTAACTTAATAATATTAAATAATAAATCATGATTATTGAATATTTGTTTCTTCGTTATTGATAATTAAAACGAAAAATTAACAATAATGTAATTTTTTTAACTTGTTTTTTTTTATCACTGTTCATCACATCCATAATCGCTGTACTTAAAATACTATTCTTAAACATAAACTACTCACATGACCCATGCATAAAAAATATTTGTGAGGTTACATGCTATTTATTTATCCAAGTGTAGACTCCTAGAACTAATATATGTATATTCATATTAGTTCAGTAAACTATATATTATATATACTCGAAACGATAATGGTAAATGAATGTTGCGACGGATAAAACGACTTGTGTGGCTGATACGAAAACAAAAGATCTTGAGTAAAATTATACATATCTGTCACGTTTGTCTAGGATATATCAAGTTTTCGAAATTTACGTGTCACTGTTCCGTTAAGCATACATGCTACGTGTTCCCTGCCCGGTACGAGTGTGTGCAAGTATGCGTGTGTGTATTAAGACATTTTTGCAATGTCCTCGCTGAAGATGAATAAAATGGACAAAATATATATGTACGCCGAAAATACTTGTCGCACACGTACTGAGGTAAGACATGTGCCGAATATGTATACTATTATATATTATGATATTAACTATAAAAAGTTTTTATAATATTTTCTCTCACTTTTTGTGTTCAACCCTATAGATGATTTCGCCAGACGGACATACACTCTTCACTCTTTCCTGTTTCCAGTTAACCTATTTATAATATAAAAATAAAATACTTGTAATAATCATATATTTATTATGTATACATTTTTTTTGCCAAACTTTATTTTTGAAATTAAATGTCTAAAACTTGTTATTTTGATGCGTATAGAAACTATTAAATCTATTATTGAATCTTTATACACATTGAGCCTAGATTAAAAATATTTTATACAATATTATGTAATTGTATACTATTATACGTAGTTAAGATGTTTTATAAAATTACCAACTGGTCATAAACAGTAAACAAAATAATTAGTTGGGTTGAAATAAAATTTATGGTTAGAAATTCATAGTTAATTATAAGGTGATGTGGAGATTACTTAAGTATTACTATAGTGTTTAATATCTGCACATACAATATTTTTATAAGATAATGAGTTATTATAAAACATTTTCTGAAAAAAATACAATGATGAACCTGCTGCTTCTTATTTATTGGTTATGAATTTTAGATGAACACAATTTATCGATGTTTTATTTGCTAATTTTTTGTCATTTAGTTTTTGCATTGATTAAATATATAATCAATGATATTCGTTCGATAGTGTTTGCAAGACTCAAGGCGGTTGAGGTATAAATCTTTCTTTCTCATTTGAAACATGCCATATTAAAACAATAAGCAATAACCATCCTCACTCATTAACAGTTCATGAACACTTTTTTATGCAATATAACTACTTTCGCTAAAAACTAAGTAATTTATTTAAAATAGATTCATATTTAAAGTGTTCTGTTTGGCATTGAATCAAAAATAAGTATACATTGAATGTAAAATATTTCCAATTACTTTAATATAGTGAAAACTACTTTAAAGTCAGAGCGAATAGCACCAAATTTTAAATATAAGGTGTTCATTTTATTTTGCTCAAATTAACGTAAGATAGTGATTAACACTAGTTTATATTAAATTTATACGAGATAATTGTTTGAGATCTGTTATATATTGCATAGGAAATTAAAATTCTGTCGATAAACAGGTATTTTTGAAACTTCTTGAAAATAATGAGAACATTTAAAAAAATATCTCGTTTCGAAGGAGATAATTATTAATATTAATTTGTTTAATTTTCAATTTTTACAGGTTATGCTTGAAAATTATTCCTAGATTTTTTTTCCTACTGTATCATAAAAAGTGTTTAAAAAAAAGAATTTATTACATAACTCTTTTTCTTCGACCAAAATATAAAATTGTTTCATATATATAGTATCAATAAAGTAGCTTAATTAATTAAATAAATAAATAAAATAAATAAATGCTTAGTCAGGAGTATTTATTTATATATTGATGTGTGTATAAAAATACGAAGGTTAACCTTTTACTAATTTTTAATTTTTTTAACATTTTTTTATTATTTTATTCATAACACGTGAAAACTTAATGAGGGAAAATGTTATCTTCTTCTTTTAAAACTAATTAATAAATATACTCAAAGGAAATATTGTTACTTATAATATTTTTATTTTACTGAAAAATACAGTGAGGATTTAATTGATTTAATTTAAGATTTTTTGTACCATATAATATACAATAAGAGCTTCGAGATAAATGCACAATAGTCCATACTAATTGAAGATTTTACATAGAATAAAATAATATATATTATATCTTTGTTTCTATTTTAAGAGGACAAAAAGTGAATTAAGTTTTATCCTTCATACAATTATTTAATAATTATCTTTTTTCTTTGCAACAAAACAGTAAGTTTTTTAACAAATTTACATGAAAAAACAAACCCCCGAGAATATTATTCGATTTTTACTCTTTTTAGTTTATCTATATATTTTTATTATTATGATGTAGCTGATTTATTATAACATAAGACAATATAAAAAACATTTCGAATTATTATTGAATTTCATTACAGTCAACGCATAAAGGTGTACAATTTATTTTTATTACTATAGTTTTTAATTCCCGGAAACAAATGGTTTTATTTATTGTCTACACTTACAAATATTTATCTCTTGGTTTTTCTTTCTGAACTGTTTATTATATTATAATAATATTATGCATTACTATGCCAAACTATTTATTAGATGTGTGTTATTCGAGTAATAAATTAAACTTATTACAGTTATTTATCAAAAATTAATTAACAAAGTTTATAAATTAGATGAACATGACTAACCAATAAATTGCAATTAAAATAGATATAGAATATTAAAATATTTTAACGAGTATTTTAACTAGTATATGTGACTTAATAATTACGATATTACTAATAATTTGTATTTAAATATTGTACATTTATATCGGTGGTATTCTTAGTATTTTTTTGAGCGATTGGATGAATTTAATATTTAAATATTAAGCCGATTGAGGTTATTTAAAATATAATTTTAAAAAAAATGGGTATCTTTCTTTCTAATTTCTTCCTTTCCTCCATATATATTCCCATAATATATTTGTATAGTTAAAAGATTAAATAAATTATGAAAGTATTAAAAACAAGTAATCTTACACAAGATTAAATCCGTCGTTTAAAAATATCGACCAACAATATTTTGTTATGAAATATTAAAATTTAAATCATTGGCAATTTTCAAAGTTTTACCACCAAGTTATTTATGAATTTATTTTGCCAACTCAATCAGTTTAGACGGATTTTCTTTTAAATTAAGACTATAAAACTATAACTCGTAGAGATTATCTTGTAATTGAAACTGACGAAGACAGAAAACGCACTGTAATGAATTCGTTCACTGATTACATATATACAACTTAAACTTAAATTTGTCAATTTATTTATCACTTTCTAAGATATTATTGATTGTCAAACTTACTTGAAATTATACATATTAATATACTGTATGAAATATAATATCACCAGAATAAATTTTGAGTTATTAACCAAGAGTTTTAAAAATAGGTTATAGTGATGTAACTTATTTCTAATACACACGTGAACTATATATATAAATACATACAAAATATTTTTAAATTAGTAAGAAGATAATATTTATTACATAAATTTTTCTAAATAATTCTCAAACATTGATAAATTGTGATCATATCATTAAAAAAATGTTGTTATTTATTTTACTATTGATTAAAACTAAGTACTATTTACAATTTATTAAAATATTATTTAAAATTTTAAAACTGTTATTGTAGGATTTTCTTCGTGATATTTCATTCTTTGAGTATATGGGTTTTAGGTTAAATTACAAGTTAAATCATCGTATAGGAGTATTCTGAATCATTTAATAGTAAATCAATAAATGGACACCTATTCAAGTTTAGTAACCGAAGTCTGCTAACTGGTAATAAATCAATTCTGTTGCAATTTAAACTCAATTTTATGTTAGTTGACAAATTTATAATAATTTTAGTTATGAGTAAGATGAGTAAAATGTGCTTTAAATGTAGTAATAACGACAGTGAAGATATATTTTCAAATCGATAAAATTATAATTATTGATTTTAAAAAATTAATTTTTTTTTATATAATGACATAGGTTCATTGAAATTAACTATTCAACTAAATATAATTGCCGATTTATAAAGATCTCATTGCATAATACTTTACGAATATTTATTTAAGTTCGTAGTTTGTATACATTATATATTGTTTATATTTTAAAGTAAATACGATGTATAATATTATACCGTGTTTATTTAAACTGGAATAGGATGGCGAAACGAATTGCTCACACTCGATACGCCAATACGAATATAATAAAAGCTCTATTAAATAAATATATTGCGTCCAAACTTAAGGAAACGAGAACAACTGAAAATAAAATGGATTTTTATTTCCCATCTATTTGTTTGTGTGTGTGTGTGTGCACGTGCACATTGAGGATAAGAACACCAAATATTTCTCACCAGTTAGATTGTATACGTTTGTACCACGCGTAGAGCATAGTATTACTGAGTTATTTTCACGTGCCGATCCCCGTCTCTTACCTTAACGATTTTCGTAGTGCTCGTGGACGATGGACGTATCATGTTCAGTGATGTTTACCAAATATAATATTGAATGTATTAAATTAAAAAAATCGCACTCGTTGGATGCACGCAAAACAACACGTACAGTCAGTCCGACATTTTCAGCGGTAAAAATCGGGGAACAATCGATTTCGGTTTAAATTCGTTAGAACACAAAAAATATAAAAGGTGTACGCGCGGTTGAATGTTTATGTGTGTGTTTGTACGAGGAGGTCGACAAAAAAAAAAAAAAAAAAAACCGCTCCAATCGAAAACTAACGATTTAACGAGCAAATTAAACTTACGGGACCTGGTCGAGGCTGAAGAAGGTGTAGGCGGAAGAAAAAGACGTGGGTAAGTTTTCTGTTTTTCTGAAAACGATCGCGGTCGTGGTTTATCCACAGGCGACGAACGGACCGCGAACACGGTATAATATGGAGTGCGAGGAGATTGTGACTGGAACGGGACGCGGTCACGACCGAAACGTCCTGCCGAAGAGCGCGCGCGACATGTAATGCGCGGGATGTGTGTGTGTGTGTGTGTGTGTGTGTGTGTGTGTGTGTGTGTGTATGCGTGTGCGCGTGTGTTTGTGTCGCATCCACGCGGTCGTCCGGAGAGGGGGAGTCCCCTCCGACCATAGAGTGCGCACGCGGTGTTTGTGCCGCCGCCGCCGCTGTCGAGCGCTGTGCGCTATGTGTGTCACACGCACACTAACAAGTGGGAAAAAAGACAACGTGAAAACAATATAATTATATTAATATTAATAATAATTAATTATAATAATAATAATAGTTTGTGTAATAATAAAGTGTTACTATGCCGATGTACGATCTTAAAATTATCGTCGTGGTGTGTTTGCAATTATGTATTAATATGCAATATACAAATCCCCGTCCAATAATTATAGCGATGACCCGCGGTCGCCGCTGCGCGTTTTCCTTTTCGGAGCCGGAAATGATAATTTTTTATCTCCGGCGATACCGTTGACCTAACCACCAGTACAACACCGCGAACAAAATATAATTATCGGTGAAAGTCTTAAACACTTAGGTGTATGGAATTATTATTTTATCCGAATTACGAAACAATCAAAATCGATATTACTTAATGTATAATATACTCTCGTAGTTATGTATGTTTCACCGTTTTTCGTCGTATACCATTGATTTTTAAAATTGGTTAAAAATTATAGAATTTACTTGTGAATATAGCGTACTATATAAGTTTTACTATACGAAAAACTTTTAGAGCGTTTCATTTTCTATGTTTATTCACGAAAATACATCTAAAATATGTAACGTAAAACCAATATTACATAACATTATACCACACTCGCGTACCTACATTAAGTCTGCTCTGGTTCGAATTCTTTGAACATGAAATATTAGTGCATTTGTATCGATTATATCGGCAAAAACTTCTCTTGTTTTTACTACATTTTTAATTTTTTTTTCAAAATAAATTTTTTTCTTTAGCCACCCTGACCCTTTCTTAATTTCACCCAGATTCACCTCTGATATTTGAAAGATAGTTTCCTAACCGATCAATAATGTTGTAAAGATGGTCATGGAGTCAGGAAGAAAAATCATTATCATTCAACCTCTAACCCAGTGTTTCCCATCCTATGGATCGCGACATGCGATTACCTCCATCTGGCTTATGGTTCAGCACTATGATTATTATTAATACCGTATTATCACATATATATATTTTTTATTGTTGGGGAGGGGGTGAGTCGCGTATTCAATAAGCAGTGGATTTGTGGGTCACCATTACAAAAAGTATGAGAAACATTGCTCTAATCTACACTTCCTCTCATCATCACTACATCGTGTGTGACGGGTGAACTATACAGCTACAGGTATGCACATATAAAACGTGTGGCTTACTATATAAAGATACGTGACGCGTACGCCAATCACACTACTGACCAGTTAAATTAATTGACTTCTATTAAATTTAATATTTTTTTCCACTCGCTTGTTACACGCCATCAATAACTCTACCATGAGACTTAAGACCATAAGACCCGATAACATAACGGCCAGTGGTAGTAACGGCGAAATATACGTTTCACAATACGCTTGTATATTAATACTCACATAAACAATATATATTTATATGTGTGCGCATTTTGTACGCACAACCATTTCAGTTGTATAATAATAGTAATAATAATTAATGTAACGACGTCAGAACTTTATAACAAAAGAGCTTACATAAACACCACCATACACTGCACGCAGTGAGAGGGTATGTATGGTAAATATTCTGTGAGCATAGGTAGACACAACCTTTAATTTAAACAGAATATTTTATGGGTGTGTGTATGTGAATTACATCTATAACTAATAACATATTACACTGTGTAAATTGATGTCTTATCCACCAGATTTTTCCTTTATCAATTTTTTTCGTGATTGTTTCTTTTCACCGGTAACCTAAATGTCGATTATCTAAAGCATCTCGCTTTTCATCATGTCAAGGGTTCAACTATTAAGAACTTACAATAGATAAAAGCTAAACAATGTTAAAAATAAAAAATATCGTAACAAGTGTAATTTGTTTGCTGTGATCGCTAAAAATCGAATGAGAAATATAAATTTTTTTCTTTTTAAACAAATTTTAACAATTTTCTTCACTCTATTTATTGATTTTACAATATCCATAATATAGTAAATTATAAATGTGATGGTTGACCATAAATTATATAAGTAATTTAGTCTATATATATATATATATATATATATATATATATATATATATATATTAGTTCTAGTATTATGTCATAATAATTTGTATTAATTATTATAGTTAAAAAAAAACCGAAATCTTTCTTTCATATGTGTGAAGTAAAAAGAAGAGTTTTTACAATTAGTATAGGTCGATAATTATAGACCTTTTAATAACTTAAAAATGTGATATACTTGACACTACTTTTGAGTTTTTATACAGTAATAGTTATAAAATAACAGTATTGTCATAACTACTATGTTATAGTGTAAAATAAAAATAAGTTCAATAACTCAAGGCATCCAATTTATTTTGAGTACAATATAGATGTATTAGTTCATATATTGCAATAAGTTTTTTTTTCGTATGTTTGAAGTGTCAGCAACTTATACTGTTATTATTTTTCGACATTTATTTTTTAGAAGACACATGTCACATCAAAATATTTAATAAGTAAAATATTTAAATTTTAAAGTCATCTGATGCAATGAAATGCAGTGCATTTCAAATGATTTGAAACAAATAAAAAAGCTTATTATTTCGTTGTATGATAATTCGAATGCTTTTAATTATGTGTATGAAAAACTATATTCCCCGATTCATTAGCTGATAACATCGAATTAGGTTTCATAATTATAAATTAAAAATCATTATACAGTTACATTAAATAAATATTATAGTTATATGTATAATGCCTTTGTATTCTAGTATAATAGGATTTTGTTACAAATTTATATTTCTAACATCTTGTATTTCAAGCAAAACTAAAAATGTTTTTGTATCTACAATTTAAAATCAAAATCTTAATACCTTTAAACTTAATTATTTTTTTTTTTTAATACCTATAGAAAATGTACAGAAATTATTTTGCAAATCATCCCCCATGTAAGAGAAAAATATAAAAAAAGGAATAATTATATAAATCTATGTGGTGTTTGAAAAATATACTTTTGCTCGTTTTTTAATAACAAATTTTATACTATTTTTCAAAGCATAGCGATATGTACGATCATGACAAGTGATTTATTTTAAATTTATTTTATTTATATACTTATATTCGGTATTTAAAAAGTCAGCAGACAAATAAAAAAATAAATAAGCTAAGGTTAGTATTCAAACTACGTTAGATTGGAAGAATTTTATGGAAGAACATTTTTATACAGAAATAAAATATTTGTAAGTAATACAGTCTTTATTTTATATTAATTTCTTTGCTTTTATCTTATCACTTTTAAAACTCATTTTGCTTTATAGTTTTAGTAAAATATTATTATTATTAACAAATATATTATTTTAATTTATTATATTTTGAGTTGTTTCCTGTCCTTTTTTTTAAGTAATACTTACTTCAATATTATTTATTATAATAATATTATAGCATTAATTATTTATAACTTTTGGATTTATGTTTAGTATCTGGTTAGTGAATGAAATTAATGAATAAGATATAATTTAAACAAACGTGTTGTTCATTGATGCACGCATGGAATGAAGATTACAGAAATGAGGATTATTTTTGTAATTTAATTTATAAAATAATTTGTGAAAATGTAATGTTTTAGTTATTGAATTATTAAAATTTATATCAATTAAAAGATTTTTCTGTATGTTGAAAATTTTAAATGTTTTAAGTAGTTTTGAGTAAATTGAAACTTTAATTTAATTTAATTTAAATTTTAGAGGCTTTCTTCCAAGTCAATAATTTTTATACCTATATAATACGAGAATTTTGAACAAGTTAAAAGTTGAGCAATAATTTTAATATACTTATACATATTATTGAATTAACAAATACAGTGAAATTAAATCAAAATTATAAACACTGATAGGTATGCATACAGCTAATAAAAAAAAAAATAATAACTAGCAGAGAAAATAATTTGATAGGTATACTAATAATAATATTATAGCATTAGTATTTATTATATTTTTTACTACAGATTTAAAATCGAGGGAGTTACAATTTTTTGATGGACAGACGATCGAATATTTAAAATGGTTTTTATAATTATTTTTGAATTTTTTCGAAGATAACCGATAAAATATCAATAGATTCGTATTAAAAAAATATTTTTTTACTTTCTTTTCGATCAATTAAAACAGACTAATTACATTACTTTATGCATATAAATAATAATCAGTAGTTATGGGTATAAAATCAAATATCATAATACTAACGACACTTAAAATACACATGTAATTTTTAAACAAAAAACTAATAACTAAAAAAAGTGTTTTTTATATTTTATATCCCAAAATTAAATATAATTCGTGGAAGTTTATCACTTTTTAAATAATTTTATTATTATATAGACTGGTGACCTTTCAGTTTGTATCAGAAAAATATTACATCTAATTTTATATGTAAAAGATACAACACTGTTGTGTACTAAATGGAATGAAGTGAGTTTAAATATTCGATCACTCTACATTTTCTGGAATAATACGCTTTAAATATATACATATTTTTCATTTTTTATAAATTTAATATAACAATTTTCACAATTAATTAAAGTATTATTGATTTTAGAATATTCTTTTAGAAGTTCTCAATAATTACCAATATTGATATAGTCTATGAGTTAAAATTTTAATTTTTATTTAGTTCATGATTTGTATACTAGAAATTGTTCAAAGTAAATAATTGTATTATAATTGTAATTAAATTGTCAATTTTAATTTTAAACTATAAGCAAATCAATGGTTTGCTATTTGCAAAAAGAAAGATCAATACTTCTTAGCTTTAAAAGTGTTAAGAACCCCTACATAATTATAATGA